GCTGTCCTTGCATGTTAGGTGATCCTGGGGAATTTATACACATTAGTGACATTAAAACAAAACTGTCATCAGTGTGGAGATCATCTTCTCTGCAGAATATTCTTTAAGTGTCTGACTATTATTGATCTTGGCTCAGTAGCTTTAGCTTTTCTTAATCTCACAGTGCCCTAAAGTTTCTATTTGGAGGAATTTGTGTGTGTTTGTGAGAGAGGGGGGCCACAGTAAGGGCCAACTTCATTTTCCCACAAGTATTTATTTTTGTAAGAAGCTTCTGGAAATAAAAAATCTTTTCCCGTGCATGACCTATTTGCAGTAACGACTGAGCCTGTCAGTGTCTCCTGTCAGTTCTTGATGTATTTATGATTTCTCTGTTGTCTTCTTATGAGGAGACTGCTGTTACAATAGGAGCTCCTTAGAATATTTTAATATTTGATAGCACAGATCCACCTCCGTTATGCATACGTTCCACATTGTCCTTGGCAATGTTCACACATTTACTCTTCTGTATAAATTCATATTCAATTTGTACAGTTTCCAAATACACCCTAATTTGTAAAAGACATTTTATTAGACTTAATTATTTATTTGGGAGCATTGATATTTTAATTTGGAATAAAACTCACCATTCTTAATTGTTTTCTTTGTGTCTTTGCATGCAATATAGTTGGCTCTGTGTGGGATTTACATATTTATCGTTGTATTTGACACTGTCTACTTCAAAGTTATTTCACTATGCTAATAAGCCTCATTTGTTACTCTTCTACTTAATTCTGTAACTGGTTTTGGAAAGAAAACGATTCTATGTTCCCCATATCCTGCACCTTATGGAAATGGTCTTATCTGGCGCGTTCATTTTTATTTAAGCAATTCTGTTTCTGTTCTCTGAACGTGTAGCAGTGTCTGTAAGAAACACTTACAGGTGCTCACCCTGTGAGCTTGGGTTTCACAACTGTACCACACAGACCTCCCAGCCTGGCAGATAATGGCCATCCTCTTCTTCCCGCCTCCCTTTCATGAGATTTTCCTAAGATTTCTTTCTTGGGGTGATATAATGTTTGCTGTGGAATTTGACAGACACTCTTTCCAAGCCCTTGTATTTTTGACTTACTGGGGTGGAATTTTCATTAAAGACTAGCACATGCTTTCAATAAATTTTGCTTCATCCCTTGGGTCTGTTTCAGGTCAAGATGGACAGTGTCCAGTTTGGTCTTCCTTCACTCTTCCATACTGCCTTCCGATGGGTTCCCTTTGATGTCCTCCATTGTGTCTGTGTGTCTGTGTGTCTGTGTGTCTGTGTGTCTGTACTCCCGATAGCTGCCCATCCACACACTGGTCCTGTGCTGTGGAGCAGATGTGAGACCCCATTTCTAGAGATGCCCAGGCCCATTCTTCAGACACCTCACCTCAGACCCTAGGAAACATTTGATCAAGCAGGGACTGTCAGAATCTCTTGTTTCCCACCAAAACAGTAGATAACCTCAAAGTTTGGCAGAACACATTGATCATCCTCAGTCAGTAAAACACCCGACCTTTACCTTCCAGGGTGACGGTCACTTGAGTCAGGAGGGTGTGTCTTCTTGTCACACTGCTTTGGAGACAACTGGGGCTAGAAAGGTGTGAGCTAAGAACTGTGCAAAGTACCCACTTCTCAGAGTTGCCCATGCTTTCCTAGTAACCTCAGTCACATTAGGAAACATCTACACTTGTGGGGCAAGTCTCTCCAGCTCTACCCACGGCCACACTGGGATTTTGTTATAGGATTAAGTTGTGCCCTAGCCATCTGCTGATCATCACTGGGCACCAATGCAAAAAGAAACAAAAATGGAATCATAAGATGTCTCCACATTTTAAGATTTTATTTATTTTCATTTTATGGTTCTGAGTTTTTGCCTATGTATCTTTATGTACACCATGTGCATGTTTGGTGCCCACAGAGGCCAGGAGAGGAGTGCAGATCACTTGGACTTAGTATTAGGAGGAAGCTGTGAGCCACCGTGGAGTTGCTGGGAACTGAACCTGGGTCCTCTGCAAGAACACTAAAAGGTCTTAACTCCTGAGCCCTGAATCCTTCCACATTTTAAAGGATTAGGGAAGGCTTGTTTCATATCGTAAATGTCACATGCACAATGGTTTTACAGAACTTATCTATCTCAGAGCATTGGGGCTAGAAGTGATTGTGTTCTGTCTGTCTTGAAATGCAATGAGTTATTTTGCTGAACAAAGGGTGTTATATAATTCCTGAGTTTCAGTATTGGCCAGAGCTGGCTGGGTGCTCGGGCTCCATGCTTTATTTTCATGCCTTACTGGATTCTCGCTATCAGTTGCTTCCTGTGCTGCCTATGTGGGCCTTTGATCCGACCGTCATTGTCAAATACCTTTGTGGAAATGTCAGTCATAATTAAGTCTAGACACATGTAAATACGGATCACACATAGGGAATGGCTACTTCAACACGTGTAAACAATTTTGTTTCTTCTCCTTAAATCAGATTACTTATATGCTGTGTGTATTTCACCTAGCAAAGCCTCCTTGGAAAAAGCAGCCATGGAGTAGGCAGCGACTTGGACTCCAGGAGGGTGTGGGGCTTCTGCAGGTGGATTATAAAGGAGGTTTGCCTGAGGAGCAGCAGGAGATCTGACTCATTATTAGCGAACATTCTTCATATCCACATGAACATGAAGATTCCAACACGAATACCCCTCCATGCCTGGAAATGCCGACTCCTCACACATGAATGTTGCCGATCCTTTGGGCATTTGTACTTTCGGGGTAATTGACGGTCTTGACAGGCAGGTTTTCAGTTTGCTGCCTGTCTGCCTCGTCCACCTCCTCAGATCTCTCTGGTGTCCCGTCCCGTCCCCCCCCCCCCCCCCCC